AGCTATGTGTTCTTCCATCAGAATCTCAGGTCATGATTTCTGATGCAGCCAACTGCATTAGAATGCTGGCAGAAGCTGGAGGAACTTAATCTATGAAGTGTTAGCCCGGAGCAGACTAGTTAGGACAGGGATGTGGTTATCAAGCCAAGTGAGCATCTGGGGTTGGTTAGAAGGCTTAGTCACATGACTTTTTGGGATCATTCCTGCACAGTGAGTTAGAAGACCCTGGTCATCTTGGGTGATTCCAGGTGATCTTGGGGTTGTTGGCTTGCGGTGTCTGTCTGAGGGTGGGGAAAGGCAGTGAGATTTTTGAGGCAGGAGAAAGTCAGTCCTGATAGGCTGTGGAACACGGGATGAAGCTGATTTTGGGGTCCCATGGTGTGGTTCCTCAGAGTGATAAGTGGCTGGCATTTGAAATGGAAATGGAAGAGCTCCAAGACCCCAAGAATATATAGATAATATGTCTTGGGGTGGCAGCAGATTTAGGATCAGATGGAAGTTCTAGTGTTCCTGTTCTCATTGCCAGCAGCTCCATGTCCCCTAATACTTCCCAAGTCACCTCTCCTATGTGTCCCCTCCCCACACCCTGTGAACTTTCCCCAAAGGAAGAAAGGAGGTGAACCCTTCAGAGAAGTAACACATGCAGAGAGCTGGAACTGGAACCTTAACCTAGGCAGTTAGAGTTGAATCAGCAAGGGACAGGAACAACTCCCAAAGGATGACACCCTTCCAGACCAACCCAGCAAAAAAGGAGAAGCCAGTCTCTGATGCAGAACCTCAAGAATGGCAACTGGAAGTGAGAATGTGCTTGCTTTGGGGGAAGCACAGACTGGATCTAGGGCAGTAGGGAACCAAGGAGGGTAGGTGTGTCTAAGATGCACAGGAAGGAGCTTCCTGGGTCCTCAAGGTGGGGGTGAGTGCTTGGGGTAGGCTGGGGAGTGAAGCACAAAGTGCAGCCTGAGAGAGGTCAGCTGTACCCCCAGGAGGAGCCCCGTGGCCAAGTCAGACCTGCCCACTCTTCAGAAGTTTCTCTCTCTCTCTCTCTCTCTCTCTTTCTTGCTTAATATATCTGTGCATCTCTCTGTCCCTAGACCTGTGGATCTATCTCCATCTTTCTGTCTGTTTGCCTTTTTTTTTTGCTTCTGCTTCTGTATTTGTGTGTCCTCTTAGTGTCTCTCATCTCTATATCTTTGCTTCTCTCTCCCTTTCTTTCTCTTTCTTTCTCTCTCTCTCTCTCTTTCTCTCTCTCTGCCTCTCTGTCTCTGTCTCTACCTGTCTCTGCTTTGCACCTGTGTCTCCTTCTGTCTTTCCTTCTCCCCCCTCTTTCTCTGTCTGTCCCTCCCTTTTTTCTTTCCCTCTCTTGCTCTATTTGTCTCTTCATTCCTCTCTCTCTCTCTCTCTCTCTCTCTCTCTCTCTCTCTTTCCCTCTCTATTTCTCATCATCCCTGTTTCTCTGTGTAGCTCTGTTGGCCTCAGTCTCCCTCCCCCTCCCCCTTCATCTCGCCCTCTCCCTCTCCCTCTCCCTCTCTCTCCCATTGCATCTGGCAGGCAGGTCCGCAGGCAGATGTGACTGTGGAGTGACCCTCCCACAGTTCCTGTGTCCCTCTGGGGACACAGGAATGGACCTGCTGGCTGTCCAGGAGTCCTAACACCATCTCCTCCTCCAGGAGCTCACATTGGAGCAAGCTTACCCAGAGCCCTAATTCAGTTGTCCTGTGCACAGCCCTCCAGAGCCCTGGGAAGCTTGGGCTGTCACAGTGCGCATCCATTGGAGCCTGCAGCCCCAGCTCCCCCCTTGCAGAGCACTCAGGTTGAACTGGGATTCGCAGTTTTCAGAGCAGAAAGGAGAGGGGGCTCCTGCTTCTTCCCAACTCCAAGGACAGCTGCTCAGTGGCTGCAAATGGCAGACAGTAACAGCAAGGCATCTCGTGGCTTCTGAAGGAACTCTGTTGTTCCCCAGAAAGCCAGCAGGATGACACCCACACTTTTGTCACTGACAGGAAACCTCTGAAGGTCACTGAGTGCCATTTGTCTTCAAGAATGCTGGAGGTAGCAGCCCCAGGTCTGGTGTCCCCCTGACCTTCTCTGGGAGCCACAGATGCCCTGAGCCTGTCTCCAGCAACCTGGACACCCTGTGCCTCTCTGCCCCAAATTGAAGCCTCTCCTCAGGAACATTGGGTGCACCCACCTACTGCAGACCAAAAGCATGACTTGCTCACCCTGTCTCCCAGCCTCTGTCAGGCAGTAAATTGAATGCCACACAGGGAAGAAGTGTTCCCCATGCATGAAGCTGAGGGGGACCAGGGGCTGCAAGAGCACCACACCAACACGCCAGCGACCAGCTTTCAGTGAATCCCAAGCCTTTCTGTGGTGTCTGTATCCAGCATCATAAGATAGCTGCAGTTTCATGGAGAAGGTGTCTGAGGACCTTAAAAAGGGGTGGGCTGCCTGCCCTTGGAGAGGCTGTGTGGACTTCGGGTAAGAAGTCTTAAGGGTCCTGAGAAGGTTTGCTCACAATGTCTACCTCTTTCCAATGGTGGTGGACATTTTAATTCTGTTTGTATCTGTCACCTCTTCCATGCTTTCTCTCCCTGTCTTCCTCCCCTCCCCTCCCCCCTCCCCTCTCCCACCCCCTCGCCCTCCCCCTCTCCCTCTCCTCTCCTTCTCTCTTTCTCTTAGAAATTAACCCCAGGGCTTTTTCACTGAGCTACATCCCCACCCCTTCTTTCATAATTATTCTGAGATAGTATCTCTCTCTCTCTCTTTCTCTCTCTCTGTCTTTCTCTCTCTCTCTGTCTCTCTCTGTCTCTCTCTGTCTCTCTCTCTCTCTCTCTCTCTCTCTCTCTCTCTCTCTCTCTCTGTCTCTCTCTCTCTCTCTCTCTCTATCTCTTTGTCTCCAAGTTGTCCAGGCTGGGCTGGAACTTGTGATCTTTCTGCCTCGGCCTCCCAGGCTGCTAGGCTAATTGGGATGACACCACATCCAATAGAATGATCCTTCAGAAATTCATAACTTTGTCCGGCACACAGGACATGCATTTATTATCTCAGACTGACTTATTTGTGTGTGCTTTACTTTTCCTAAGAAATGTCAGCATTGGGGGAGGGGGCAGGGTCCGTGGAAGACTGAACTTAATTTTACAAACTAACTGTCCTACTTGGGCGTTGATGAATTCACCTAATTTAGCAGCTTCTGACAGATTTATGAAGGTTAAATTTGCATGCTTAAAACACCAATTCCAAGACTTTTAATATGTTTGCCAAGCTGTGCAACCCTAACCACAATCTAATTTTAAAACATTTTTTTTCCCACCCCAGGAGGATCCTTCCTGTTACCCATTTGCAGTCCTCCACCCCCTACCTCCAGCCTCATTTAATTCTGGATTTGACATCCTTGATTTTTTTCCCCAATGCTCACAGTACAGTGTCAGCTGAGGTTCTAGCATATTCCAAATGACTTGTGGTGATGTTAGTGTTTGTTCCTCTGTGCATGGCTCTAACCTGTTTTGGGACTTGTGAGGTTTGTGCCTGCCTCTTCTCTTGCTTTTTGTTTTGAACAGAAATAGAGGTGGCAAGCTCACCGGGAGATTGGCTAGCAGACGATAACAGAGCCAAATGCTTCTATGTCTAACTTGGTAGAGTGCATGCTTCCCAAATTCAAGCCACAGAATTTATGCTAGGACATAGGAGAGCTGGGCGTGAGAGTTCTCCTCATTTGTTGCTCCTTCATTTGGCAACTTTTTGATCACTTAGGAATTGGGAAAAAAAGAGAGAAAAGAACAGAAGGAAATGGAACAGAGAGAGCTGGGAGGGGTAGTGGAGCAGCAGGGGAGAGAGAGAGAGGGAGAGGAAGAGGAGGAGAAGAGAGGAAGAGAGTGGAGAGAGACATTCTCTGAATGAAACGCAAATGCTGTGGTTTTTTTGTTCAGCTTTGGCTCAGGCTAACTGCTCAATTAATTTCGTCTCATCCCTTTGGTTCTGCCGGTGATCAGATAGCTACAGACCATGTGTCCCTCCTCTGTAATGTTGGGTACAGAAGTGTTTTGTTTCCGTATTGTTTGGGATGGAGTGGTGTCCTGTATTTGCACAAGGATCATGAGGTATCTTGGGCAAGGGATCTGAGTGTGAACTGGAAATTCACTTGCTTCCTGTAAACCTTATACAGCCAAACCCAAAGGAAGGTCTCTTTAGAGTATGTGTTTGGTGTCTGTGAGTTTTGATTGAAGTTTTGGGGTTAGCCTATTTTTGGTTTGAGGTTTACAGATGAAGGACACTTGCCCTACATTATTTTTACATTGTCCCTTTCATCTTTTCAAGCCTTGGAGGTGGCCGGGAAGTCTGCATGCCCCAGCCACAGTTGAATAATCCATGCTCACCTGTCTTGAAGTGCTACCTAGAAACACTTTCTGCTTGTAGCTGGCATACAATTTGTGATCAAAATTCATGGTAGATGTGTAGATTTGAAGCCTGTAGACAGAAAAAGACACATTGTGATTAATCCCCCTCAAAACCCTTTCCCTTCAGCATTCTAGCCACTTTTTGAAGCACGTCTGGAATCCTCCTTCCTGATAGACTTAAGCTCAGCAGGTTTGACTACCTTGATGTCTCGAATTGATTTTGGGCATTGACATTTTTGGGTCATTGTGACTTTGTGGAAGACCCAAAGGTGGTTCTGTGCCAGATCTGGTGAATAAGGTAGATAAAGGCACAGTATTGTGTTTTTGAAGCTTGCTTTTCTGTTGGATAGCGCTCAGCGCCATTCATTGTGTCTCTGATCACAGTGTGTAGGATGCTCATGCAAGAGGACTTGCAGAACTGCTGCAGAAGTTACCAAGAGTGATGAGACAAATATGTGCAAAGAAAGGGGGAGACTGTGAGAGGGCTTCTTGGCAATGCCATCTTTCACTGTAACAAGCTGTTACTAAATTTTAACATTCAGTGTATGTCTGCAGCATATGGAAGGATGATCTTTAGTGATACACTCTCTGTATTTTGAACCACAGGCAAGTCCATCTGGAAAACCTTTTACTTCACACCCAACTTCACTCCGGAGGGTGCCAATGGGTGCTTTGCCACACATGTGTGTTTATGTTTTGGAAAGTACATCACCCATCACGACCCGCCTTTGCTGTTTGACCTTTCCAGTGATCCACAGGAGACAAACCCGCTGACGCCGGCCACAGAGCCCCGTTACCATGACATCCTCCGAGCCATGCAGGCAGCGGCAGACGACCACACCAGGAGCCTGCAGAAAGTCCCCAACCAGCTGTCTATGTGGAACTTTTTCTGGAAACCGTGGCTCCAGCTCTGCTGCCCCTTGGCCTCCTCTTCACTGCCTTGTCAGTGCGACCGAGAAAAACAGGGTCAAAGCATGAGCAATTAGCCATGAGCCACTCTGTGTCTGGAGACAGGAAGCACGCATGTGGCTAGGTTCACCATCTTCATCACCGATGCTGTGTCTTATCTTGCTACCTTGGAAATGTACCCATTCCCTGTCCTATCCCTGGAAGTTACGAACGGGACATCCATACTCACCCAGTTGGGGGAGGTTAGGGCTCGCTTCCAGGGCCTGCAGAACAGTGATCAACGGATGTCTTCCACAGCCATGTTCTTTGGTCTTGGTGTCAGCAGAGTGGATGTGACATTCACTTCTTATTGCAGACAAGACAGAGCAAGTTCAAGGATGGCTTCATCCATCCTCCCACTGAGGGGATAAGATGTCATTTCCTTGTTCTCTTCAAGTTGTCCTGGAACCTGAAAAACTAACCAGCACAGCTGCACAAAGGTGGTCACATTCCCAGACCTTAGTAGATGCTAATGTATTCAGCTTTATAACAAATGAAGGCTCAGCCTCTTTCCCATTCAAAGAGGATAGCACATTCCATTTGATTATAGGAAGTTAACTCAGTATTATTGTTATTGCAACACATATTTTAAATGCTTTTCACCATGGAGAGAGAAGCACAGATACACAGATATGCATATGTACATAGTTTCTTTTCTTGAGAAGGTTAAGATGGGTAGTGAATCTCAGTGTTCATTACTATTTAAGTAAAAGCAATGAAAGCTCCCCAATAAATTTGGGCAGTGAACCTATGCCAAATCTTTCAACCAAAGTAAGCCCAAGACAGAGCCCTCCTGAACTGATTTCTAATATATCACCCATAGTACATGCCACTCTCCTGTTTTGCTTTTTGGTGAGTGAGACTGGAAATTACAAGGAAATTGGAGGCTGCTACCTTCCCAGGAATCGCTTGGAACATAATTCAGAATTATTAACATGGAAACTGTATGTTATCTGGAGTCCACATGGCATGAAGCACATGTCAGCCATGATTTATCAGCATGAAAGAGATTATCTTGACTTCCAGGTATGAACCAATGAGGAGAATTCAGTAGGTAATGTTGGTACCTTCCTGTGGTTTTTGTTTTTAGTCCCGGGATGGAAGAACTTGACTTTGGGATCAACCATGAGACGTGTGATTTTGTGTTAATCCCACTTCTCCCAAACCTCAGTACTTTTGGGAAAATCGGAACCAGGTCATGTAGGAGATAAATGAGGTGATAGATTTCCAAGTCCGCCTGGGGTACCATTTCTCCAGCCTTGGAACCAGAAGTGTGGTTACTTCTTTCACATGGAAGTATGGTTACTTCTTTGCACATCCTCTCAGAAAATGATTAGATGCCTTTATGGACAAATGGAAACAAGCCAGAGTTCAACAGAGTACCAGTCCTCTATCAGTTTGGGGGATGTGTGTGGTCATCCTGTTTGCCCAGCATGGACCATGCAGGGAAATGGGGTGATAGAGGTCTCTTGGCTGATTGGAGAGATATGGATGCCTGTCTTGGGATTTCTGAAAATTGATCATAATATCATGAATTCCTCCACAAAAACGCCCCCCAGGAGTCCACAACATTTCCCCCAGTATCTCTTCTTTTAATTTTTGCTTTTCTTTTTCTGGAAGAGAAACCAAAAAAAGAAAGAAACAGAAGAAATGATGCCAATACCATTGTGTCCCTGGAATTTTTAAAACTGGAAAATGAACCAGATTTTTCCTGTTGACATGCATTTCTTACCCTGGAAATTGTGCAAAATATGTTGTTTTGTTGCAGGAAGTATTCTTAACCGAAGACTGGATGGCGATGTTGATGGTGTTTGGAGATTATTCCTGAAAAGCATCAAAGAAATCTATGACTTCTAAACTCAGACTTTAGGATGTCATTACTTACTGAAGAAATCAGTGCAAGGGGACTTTTAGGACACTCTGAAGGGTGTGGGGAAGTCTGTTGGGGATTCTGCAACTAGAAGCACTTTTATAGGTGATACTATAGGCTTGTTTGGGTATAGAATTAGATATTTAATGGTTGAGATGTTAAGAGGGCATGAAACACAACATATACCTCTCTCTGCAAAGGAACTGAGCTTAAAAGTGCCTCAGAATAACTGAGACCACTATTACAATTCAGGGCATTTCAGAGTCATGTTGATTTCCAATAACCATAGTGACCATAGATTTTGAACTTGTTACCATCTCAAGGTTTTGCTTTGAATGTATAACAAGAGATCTGATTATTTGGAAGGGGGAGGGAGCAGCCCAGGAGAGGTGTAAGAAAGCTTGAAGGCACAGATACTGTTTGTTTTTGTAATTTTGCAGAGCCTTTAAGGCATGTTTCCATAGTTTCAAAGCTCCCTATTGATATCCTTTCTCCAGCTCTGTATTCAATTGTTACTGCATTCTGAAACTTTGGGCGAGTTCTTCACAAAGAAATTCATATTCCTCACGTTATGTCAATGCCAAAAGTTAAGCAAACAGCTCAGTCACGCATACACTGGCATTGTTTTTACCGGGTCATTGGCATTGCAAGAAAAACAAACTTGTAAGTGACATATCTATGTAAGAGAGAACGTAAAAGAGGAAGCCAATGTTTTAAACTTTCCTGGAGGACATGCAATATAGAACGAGCAAAAAACAGTAAGTTTCAAATAAAAAAAGTCACATGCACACACTCACACAGGGATAGTGTTTGGCCGATTTCTCGAAAATGCTGCTTTCAGAATGATTGCATCAGATGTAAGGATCCTTAATCACATGCTAATTCAAAGCTGAATAAAATGCTTCTTGCAATTAAAAAGGTTGCCTCCAAATTCTCTGCTTTCCTGTGTGACTCAGTTCTTTAACATGCTGTGTGTGCACCCGTTTCCACCAGGATGCTAAGCAATGTGTTTAGCAGCGATTATCAAGTTCCTTCTTTGCTCAGAGAAGAGGTTGAAGTGTGCAAGAGAGTGTAAGAAATGCCATGCAATTCACTGCGCAGATTCCACAAAAACCTAAGACTGGAAATTTCATTTGATTGGGCTATTCCACTCCTAAGTATTTACCTAAAAGAGGTCAACACTTCCTACTAAGGGATCCATGCACTCCCGTATTTATAGCAGCACAACTCACAATAGCTACATCTTGGAAGCAGCCTCAATGTTCATCAGCAGATGAATGGGCATGGTGTTTATACACAATGGGATACTTCTGTGCCGTAAAGAAGGCCAAACTTGAGAGATTTGTAGGGAAACAGATGCACCTTGAGACCATAATGTGAAGTAACTCGAACACACAAGCTTTAAAGTCTAAAAAGTGATTTTAAATGTCTAAAAAATTATTTTAAAAGTCTAAAACATTAAAAAAAAGCAAGATAAAAGATAGGTAATAGGAAGGTAGATCTTTTGCAAATGGGGAAGAAGTCCTGGAGGTGGGGGGAGGGGGAGGGAGGAAGGTGGAGGGAAGTAAAAAATTAAGACATGCTATGTCCACCTATCAGCACTTCAATCATTTGAGGATACAACACAGGCAAGTGGATAGAACACAGATAGAGGATGCAACACCGATCAGTCAGATTTATGGGTGCCCAACCATGTTTCATGCTTCATTGCACTTTGAAATCAGAAGAAGGGCTGCGGACGCAGCTGAGGAGTAGAAAATCTACTTCCCATGTGGAAAATGCCTCACTTCCATCCCCAGTACTGCAGAAATAAACCAACGAAACTAAAACAGAAGTAACGAAATACAAAGGAAAGTCATTACCAGCATTTGTGGCAACACGATCTCAGTGTGCTTTAGAGGTGCTCTCCTGTGTTTCTCATCTTTGTGTCGGATGTTTAATAGTGAAACACACTGTGCCACCCCCACTGCCACAAACACACACATATGCACATCATCAGAGTCTTAATGGGTCCGGGGCAAAGACCCAAGCCTGGTGAGCGCTTGCTTTGCTGTGACATTCAGCACAGAATTTTAATACAGAGAAGTCTTTTCTTTCTCTTTTCAAGTGAATTCAATCAGAAAACTCTACCAGAGTCAGAACGAATCCCCCCAAAGAGGAAGGAGTAATGCCTTCTGCTCACCCCAATACCATATCATGTTCTTCGCCCTCCACCCTGTCTGGGTGAGCTCTGGTCACCCTGCCTTCTCTTCAGCAAGAGTCCTGTTAGGTTGGTGCAGCTGGACTCTCTCTCAACCCAGAGGTGCTCACTTCTCGGGAACTTGCCACCACTGGGCCCTCTCCTGCTCCTTGGCTATCAGTCCCCACTTGTACATTCCCTGTTCAGAATTAAACCTCATCATTCTCCCCACTATAAGACTCCATTGGCCATGGTCCTGGACAGTTTTTTCACCAATGTTAGCAAAGATCACTGGGGAATATGCTTGTCACCAACGGCATGGGGCTTTTCTACTGAGCTTCCAGAGATCCCTGACTGTCCTATTTTCCATCACCATCAACCACTCCTATGTCGTTCACCACTGTTCCAGCTAACTTTACCCCACTAGATCTCTGCTGGACGCATGGCGCCTCAGTTTGGCATCTTACCAGCGTTCAACAGCATCACCTTATATGTTAAACAGAGCTCCTCCAGTTAGGAAAAGCAAGCTTCTCTAATTAGAATGCCCTGAATTTCAAATAGACTGAAGTGTTCATGAAGCTAACATTGTCACGTATCAATGTATTAGTTTTCTTTTTCTGTTATTAGTTCTCTTAAGGAAAGATGTAATGGTCCTTCCACATAGGAAATCTTCAACATTCACAGCTAGAGACGAGACTCCTGGATAAGTGTAAATGCCAGGAGTGATTTTTTTCATAATGATAACTGTGTCTTAACCCAACAAATAATATTCCATCTTCAAAGAAGATGTCTCAGCTTGTCTCAGCCTCCCAGAGTGATGGGATTACAGATATGCACCAGGACGGCCAACTCAGGGCTTTCATATCAAAGTCTTGATTTTTGAAAAAATGATTTCCTTGAATACAGGAAAACCCAAGGTTTCACATTGTAATATCTATCAGGATGGTGGGTGGTTTTCAATAGCCAGACCTTCCAATGGAAATATGTTTGTAAGTAAGTACTTTGAACTGCTTGCCAAAATTTATACCATTGGGATCTAACAGGACCTGTAATGCATCATATTCCATATTTCCAAAAAAGAGCCCGTGTTCCTTAGTGGGCAGAGGACAATTGTCAGTGCACTGGAAACAGATGCTGTCTCTTGGTTCACAGACAGCAAGGTATTTCTTCCTCAGTTTGCAGTTAGGTTCCAATTGTGTGGAATACCAGAAGTTGCCCAAATGTCTCCCTCCACAGTCCTCTCACATGCTCTTTACATTTTGCTGCTCATTTTGGATTACACAGAGCTCCCACAAGAGCACAGGAGAGTCCACACCCTTGAGTCACTGACCAAGACACCTGTAGAGAGATCTGCTTGATCTGATTGATGGACAGGTGATGGCCCTGTAGGCAGGAATTCAACGACGTATTTTCCAAACCGTCGATATTTAAAGCCTGTTATTGCAGTGCCTAGAGTCCATTGCCTAGACCAGTACAGGAGCTCAGCCACACGACAGGCCCCTAACATTTTAGGACAGTTCTTTGGATCTCAAAAACAGGGTTTTTGCTTCAATGTACTGGTGTGAATTTAAATGGAAGCCCCATCTCTATGAATGTATCAATAAGGTAAATTTGGATAGAAATATAATGTAGGACGGTTTCTGAAATGGTACCCAAAGACTTATGTGTGGAAAGCTTAGTCCGTAATTCAATATAAAGGTGAATCATAAAGTCTCTAACTTCATCAGTGTATTAAGTGTGCGATGAGATCAGGAAGTGATAGACATTTAGGAGGCAAAGCCTAGCAGAAGAGAGATAGTCATGACTTTTGAGATTTTATCTGGGTTCTCTCTATCTCTATCTCTATCTCTATCTCTATCTCTATCTCTATCTCTATTGCTCTTCTTCTTCTTCTTCTTCTTCTTCTTCTTCTTCTCCTCTTCCTCCTCCTCCTTCTCCTCCTCTTATTCTCCTCCTTTTCCTTTTCCTCCTCCTCCTGCTTCTCCTCATTTTCCTCCTTCTCCTTCTCCTCCTTCTCATCTTCCTCCTCCTCCTCCTCCTTCTCCTCCTCCTCTTTCTCCTCCTCTTATTGTCCTCCTTTTCCTTTTCCTCCTCCTCCTGCTTCTCCTCATTTTCCTCCTCCTCCTCCTCCTCCTCCTCCTCCTCCTCCTCCTCCTCCTCTTCCTCCATTCCTGGATGCCATGAGATAAGCAGCTACCTTCTACCACTTCCTTCCACCATGATATTCTGGCTCAGCAGAAGCCTAAAATTGCAACATCCATGGACTAAAACCTCTGAAACCATAAGGCAAAGTGTACCTTTCCTTGTTGGTGAGAATGTAAAATAACACAATTGCTGTACAAATCATGATGGAGATTCCTCGTAGAACCCAAAATCAAAATTTAATTTCACCCAGCTCTGCTTCTCCTGGATATTTCCCCCCAAATGCTAAAGATACTATAGTGTATTTGATACATGCCTACCCATGTTTATAACATAACACTTCACAAACAGCACAACAATGGAAGCAGTCTCCATGATCAAAAGCAGACACATGAGTAAACAAAATGTGATATGTTTACCCTGGGGTATTACTGAGTCTTGACAAAGGATAAATGTGAGTCATTTGTAGGGAAATGTACAGAACTTAAGTGAAATAAGTCAGATGTTTTAATTGCCACATAGTTTCTTATATGAGAAAATCAAAATATAAGTAAAGAATTTTAAAAAGTAGAGCTTGTAGTGAATAGAAAGATAGATTTACTGGATGTGGGAAAGGAAAGTGGAGAAGAAAGAGAGGGCCAGAGAGGGAGGGGGGAAATAGTGTCAAAGATAATCAAGATACATACACGAATAACTTTCTTAAAATGAATGCTATTATTATGGGTTGCAGTGTTGTTTACTTTCTCATCACTGAAACATAGTACCAACAGCCAGAATTGAAAAGGAGGAGAGGTTGGTTTTGGCTCATGGTTTTAGTGATTCAGTCCATGGTTATCTGGTCCAAAAAAGAAACAGCATGGTAGTAGGGCATGATGGATTATACATGCTCACCCATACCAGCTGGGATACAGAGAGAGAGGAAGAAGGAGCAGGCAACAAGAATGTATCCTTCCAGGTCGTGGCCACAGTGACCCACCACCTACCAAGTCCCACTGCCAGCAGCTCATTTGCCTATGAGCCTGCAGTTGGAATGATCAATGGATGGTGTAGAGCCCTCATGACCCAATCACTTTCCAAAAGCTCCACCTGTGAACGCATGAATCTTTTGGGGACAGCCTAGATCTAAACCATAACCATCACAAACATGTGCCAAACAATTAAGTAAAATTTTCCCATCTTAATTCATGGATGTTAGATGTTTTGTTACAAAAAAGAATGCTGCCTACCTTCCATTGGGACAAGCCATCAACTGACCACAGTCCAGAGTCAAATATATATGATTATGTACCTGTAGATTAAGGGAGTGGAAAAGAAGGAAGCTGATGATTAATTAAGTGTTGATATTCTTTCTGGAATATGCTATTTTGCTTTACAGGTTATACCAGAAAAAAACAGATTTCAGAATACACTATCATTCAGTGCCATATCTGCAAATTCAACCAATTCAAGAGCACACACACACACACACACACACACACACACACTGTTTAAATATTACTTCTCTGTTCAAAATGTGGACTTTTCTACTTGTCACTATTGCCTACAGAATACACTATAACAGCTGTATCCATAGCATTTACATTGTGTTAGGCTATGTTATACTTTATAACTAGATGTCTCCTCGAAGTTTCATGGGTTTATAGGAGGGGATTTTTAGAGGTGGCTGGATCTGGGGTATGTGTGATAACTGAATTAGTCCAGTGATTGGCTTAGCACAGTTCCAGGTGTGGGTACAGTGAAGGCACACTCTGAGTTTGGGTAGCCTCATTTTAAAGGCTAATAGCCTGGATGGTATAACAGGAAAAGCAGAAGAAAGGCTGTTGTTTTGCAACTGCCTGCCTGCCCTGCCATGGACTGTTTCTCCTCTGCCATCTT